CTTAAGATATTCCTTTCTTTCTTTTTTAATTTCTATTTCTTTCTTTCTTAATTTCTATTTCTTTCTTTCTTTCTTTCTTTCTTAATTTCGTTTTGCTTTCTTGCTTTCTTTCTTCCTTAATTTCTATTTCTTTCTTCCTTTCTTTCTTCCTTAATTTCTATTTCTTTCTTCCTTTCTTTCTCCCTTAATTTCTATTTCTTTCTTCCTTTCTTTCTTCCTTAATTTCTATTTCTTTCTTCCTTTCTTTCTTAGTTAATTTCTATTTCTTTCTTTCTTTCTTAGTTAATTTCTATTTCGTTCTTTCTCTTTTTTCTTCTTTTCTTTCTTTCTTAAATTCTTTCTTAATTTCTTTGTTTCTTCCTTTTTTTCTTAATTTCATTCTTTCTTTCTTCATTCTTTTCGTCGTTTTGTACATTTTCAAACTTAATATTTTAACTTACAGCTTCTTTCTTTCTCGTTTCAGACATTCTTAAACTTATTCTTTTAATTTTTTTTATTTCTCTCACACATTCTTTCTTTCTGTCTGTCTGTCTAGCTCTCTTTTTGTCTGTCTGTCCTTGCATCCTCCTCTTACTTCTCCCTCTTCCAAAACCTTCAATTCCATTCTGTACCTGTCTATCTTTTAAGCCGGACCGCTTGTCATTCTTTTTCCCATGTGTTCTTTTAATTTAATACCTGATATTTCCTTACCTTCAATTTGACATTTAACAGCCATTCCCCTTTTTTTTTTGTACCTGTGATTTTAACCTCCCACCCTTCCTCCTTCCTTCCCTCCACTCCCTTCCTTCCTTCTTTCCTTCTAGTTCTTCTCTCTCATTTTCTCCCCATGGATTTGTAATTCGTCCTTTCTTTCTCCTATTCTTAGTACCATTCTATGTTTACCTGAGGACACGATGACCTCAACATATCGAGAACTTTACGACACCACCATTTCCTGATTGAAAGAAAAAAAAAGGTTTTGCAGTTAAGTCTCGAAGCTATGGCTGCGAAAGACGAGTGGGCGTTTCCCTGGAAACACCCGCTAACACTGATTACGTCACCAATCATGAAGCATATTTCCGATTGGTTATTTTTTATTTGATCCATTTTATCAATCTTCCAAGTAAAGTCCTTCGGGGCCCTTTCCAATTTCGTATGAAAGCCTCTACCTGCCAATTCCTGTTCCGGCTTTATATGGTGTCAGCATCATCTGAAAGCAGCCAATCCGTAGAAAGTCCAGCCATCTAGCCACCCAACCGGACATCGATTCGAAAAGAAAGGAGAAACATGCAATTGGCAGAGAGAAAAAAAAGTTGACAATGATGGCCGGCACATAATTTTTTTTTTTTTTTTTGTCTGTTTACTACTTTGGATGCTTACTTCCGGTTAGAACAAAAATTATGCTTGGCCTCTACGACAGTGTTAAAGTCAGTTTCCGATGCAGGGAGACAAGGGGAAAACGGTTGTGTTTTCGTAATGTGAGTCCAGGGCTTATTACATGATGAAAAGAAAGAAAGAAAGAGAGAGAGAGAGAAAGAATGAATGAAGTGTTGGTAGTAAAAGAAGAGAAAAAAGCGTAATAGAAAGGGGAGACAAGGGGAAACGGTTGTGTTTTTGTAACGTGAGTCCAGGGATCATTACATGATGAATGAATGAATGAATGAATGAATGAATGAATGAATGAATGAAAGAAAGAAAGAAAGAAAGAAAGAAAGGATGAATGAAGTTTTGGTCGTAAAAGAAGAGAAAGAAAGCATAATACGAAAAAAGAAAGAAATGATAAAATCCGTTTGTAAATAAATTTCAAGGAAATTTAAATAAATAGATATAAATAATAAACAGATCAATATATATATATATATATATATATATATATATATATATAAAAGAGAGAGAGAGAGGGGGAAGAGAGAATGAGATGAACAAACTGAAAAAATCAGCATTCGAATCCCCGACTTACGTGATTTTGTTTTTCTCTCTTTTTCTTTTTCTCTGTACTTATCTTTTATATTTCGCTCTCTTACCCCCTCCTCTTTCCCTCTCTCTCTGCCTCTCTCTGTTACTCTCTCCCTTTTTCTCTCTCTCTTTCTCTTCCTCTCTTTCTTCCTCTCTCTCTCTCTTTAGCACTTCTTTTCCTTTCCTTTCTATGTTTACCTGTTTTTTTTCTCTCTGCCCCAGTTTTGTCCTCTCTTTCTATTTATCGTCTCAGTTTCTCTCTCACTATCGAGCCATTTTTATTATTTTACACATTCAGACCTTTCCCTCTTTCTCTCTCTTTCTCTCTCTCTCTCTCCCTCTTTCTCTACACTGAAAGAAATACTATCTTTTTCTCTTTCGCGCGCGCACATGAGCTCTGTTTTCTTTCCTTTACACCTTGCTCTAATTTCTAATTAGACCCATTTTACCCCACTCTTTCTTTAGTTACTTTTTTATTCTTTCTCTTGCCCTCAACAAAATCATCCACACTACCTGTTTACCAAATGATAGAACTCTAACGGACACCCAACCAAATAACACAGAACCAGACAAATAACATCTCCACCGCCATGATTTCACCTGAACTGTTTGGATATTTTTTTTTCTCGTTCATCTTACACTGCGCTAAAATATCCTTGTTATTTCTCTTTTGGCTTCTCCACAAATTTATTAACAAACCACCCTACAAGCAATTCCCCTGGCCCTAAAAATATTGACCTTGATTTCTCAGCAAAGAAAATAAAAATAAATACTAACAACTAAAAATTATTCGTA